GTGTACAGACTAGACCCAGGCTGTCGAGTGAACGTAGCCAGGTGACGGCCAGTCCGGGAGCACGTACAGATCGCCACACGCTGCCCTCCAGGAATAAAGGTATCAACCCAGACATCCTGAATGGCAGCGTTGCTCACCAAGTTCGTCGAGAACGTGGGGAGGTGGAGACCTGACAGAGAGCCGGAGGGGACTGCTGGACAAGGGAGGACCGTAGAGGCTCTTGCAACTACTGGGCCCCCGGAGGGGTCAGCCAGTGAGACTGGGACAGGTGTTGTGAGTGGTGTGACTGTGGTGCAATCACGAAAGAAGCAACGTGACGCGCCTGAGTCAAGCGTGAAAGTGTGCAAGACCTCAGCTGAGGCAGGACCTGTGGTAGGAGACGCACTAGCACCTAGAGCGTCGGCAGACTCACGGGCACCTAGAGCTGCAGCAGAATCACTAGCACCTGGAGCGGCAGCAGACTCACTAGCACCTGGAGTAGCAGCAGACTCACTAGCACCAAGAGCAGCAGTCTTAACAAACCGATAACCTCCACCACCAGGACGACCTCGTCGAATAACCCACTCACGAAGCTGCTGAGGGGTGGGGTTGTTCGGGAGAAGCAGTGCCCGCTGCTGTCCACCCCTGACCGCAACAACTGCCGCGGAAGTGGCCATGACAGACAGTGACGTTCAGGAGTAGGTCCAGCACCTCCAGCTCCTACAGCACCAGCAGCACCTCCTGCACTCCCAGCAGCACCTCCACCACTCCCAGTAGCACTAGTAGCAGCAGCAGTAAGAGAAGCAGGGCGGCGCGCGGCCAGAGCAGGGCGGCGCGCGGCCACAGCAGGGCAGTAGTAGGCAGTAGCTCCTAGGGCAGAAGCACCTAGGGCCATTTTTTTTTCTTTTAATAAACAATTTAATTATATTTAGGGTATAGCAGGGCGCTGGCGCAGGGCAGGGCGCTGGCGCAGGGCAGGGCGCTGACGCAGGGCAGGGCGCTGGCGCAGGCTGCAGCAGTGCGTGACGCGAGGGGCAGCAGAGCGCGACGCGACGGGCTGCCTTAGGGCGCGACGCGCGGGCTGCAGCAGAGCGCGACGCGCGAGGCAGCAGCGCGCGACTCGTGGGCTGCGTTAGGGCGCGGGCTGCAGGGGCAGGACGCACGGGCTCCAGGGGCGGTGTGCGGGCTCCAGGGGCGACGCGCGGGCTGCAGGGGCCGCGCGGACGGGCTGCAGAGGCGACGCGCGGCTCGGCAGGTCCGCGCGCGAGCTGTAGGGGCAGCGCGAACGGGCCGCAGAGGCGGCGCGCGGGCTCCAGGGGCGACGCGCGGGCTGCAGGGGCCGTGCGGACGGGCTGCAGAGGCGACGCGCGGCTCGGTAGGTCTGCGCGCGGGCTGCAGGGGCAGCGTGAACGGGCTGCAGGGGCAGCGTGAACGGGCTGCAGGGGCAGCGTGAACGGGCTGCAGGGGCGACGTACGGGCTGCAGGAGCGACGTACGGGCTGCATGGGGCAGCACGCGGGCCACAGGGGCAGGCGCGGCCGCAGGGGCAGCACGGTAGCAGGGGCGAGCACGGCTGCAGGGGCAGCACGGTCGTAGGGGCGAGCACGGCTGCAGGGGCAGCGCGGTCGCAGGGGCAGCGCACGGGCTGCAAGGGTCGCGACAGTGAGAGCTAGGGACGCCAGCGCGCTGGCTACTGTGTAGGGCGTGGCGCTACCACTAGGCGGAACGGTGGGCCCATGTAGGAACGGTTCCTACTCTTATAACATGTCAAGAATAGAACTAGGAATGAAATGATTGAACTAGGCAAGAGGTGAGTACATGTAGAGGAAACCTAACCCTAAAGTGTTGTACTCACTAAGGAGTGACCCTACTGTAGCCTAGAGATACAATTGTAATCTGACATAGCCAACCCCTCATTTCCTCCCACCCCCCTCCTCCTATCTCCTCCTTCTATGTTAACGACAACTAGAAAGGTGCAGGTTGAAATACAACAGCTTCGCTCGTGTTGATGGCCTTTTTTTCTATTTTCCTCTCATTTAGTCGTACTGCTGTTGCCCAAGAATGGAAGCGAGAGGTGGGGGGGGGGAGGGAGGGGGGAGTTGAGGGGGATGAGGGGGGGGGGGGTGGGAGAGGGGGTGGAAGATCCCGCAACCTTCTTCCACCCCCTCTCCCTCCCCCCCCTCACCCCCCTCAACTCCGCGGGGGGGGGGGGGGGAGTTGAGGGGGGTGAGGGGGGGGGGAGGGAGAGGGGGTGGAAGAAGGTTGCGGGATCTTGCATAAACATCATGCATTTTTATCACCGTTCTTAAGTCATTCAACTTAAACCATCATCCGTGCTAGTTCTCTTTGATGATTGCAGTGACGGCAATGGTTCTGACCAACCACGGTCAAGGTATGTTGCTCTATCAATATGTGTATGAGCATTTCTTGTTTGCTGGTTTCGTGATTGTCATTTGACATCTCACTGCATTCTCTGCCGCTTAGAAAATTCAGGTACCCACCTTCATCATGTTTCATAGCGAAACTTAAGACTATGTTTAAGGTGGAGAAATGCACGGATGTAACCTTTGAGGCTCCGGATGGTACCAAGGTCGCTGCACACCGTAGCGTTATAGCACAATGGTTAGTATCTGATTATGGTTTGCTTGTTTTGTTGTCCATGTAAATCTGAATCATGGTAATGCCTGGTACTGGCTAGACGTCCCTCATACTTTAGTATTGCCGTTTTTTCTAGGTCCCCTGTGCTAGATGCACTATTTGATACTTCACTCCTTAATGATGAGAAGGGCTCAGTAGTCAAGCTGAATGACATGGATGCAGGGACGTTGAGATTGCTTATATCATTCATGTATGGATGCACCATGGTGTTGCTTGAAGAGAATCGCAAGGTACATAATTTTCGAATTTAGGCCATGTCAACCCACTTACTCTCCATTTTGAACCATTTACTTGACAGATTTCCCTGGCAATCTCCTTATCATTCTCCCCTCCATTTACAGTCACATGGATTTTCTCTTCTTGAAGCGGCTCACAAGTACAACGTGCCTGAGTTGGTGCATGAGATGGATCGCCAGCTGTGCGCATTGCCCATTGAAGAGGAGACACTTCTCAAGGATTTGAAATTCGTTGACACCCTTGGGGCTGCACGGACTAAAATTGCCTTCATCAGCCACTTCGTCATGAAAATGGGTGATGAAGAAAGCAAAAATCTTATTCAGGTCAGGACCTGGAGGTTGACATTTTGAAGGTTTTGCTTTCCCTTCATGCAATAAAACGTTACTTGACATATCTAGTTGTTCCTTCCCCGTGTTTCTATCACTTGCTTTCAGGAAATGATTGAGAGCAGTGACAGCCATGACCGGGCATTAGCATCGGGGATCATTGGAATGCTCTGGTCGAAGAGGCGCGGCCCATAGTAAAAGGCTGTACACATCATCTCATACAGTGAGTACTTCAGCGTGTGTTTTTTTTAACCATATGTTCATACTGCTTTGAACCACAATGTCAAATCTTGCACTTTGTAGTTATTCCTCCCATCCAATTCGTAAGGGACTTGGTGAACAAAGCCCTAGCCTTGCCTTCCATTCCAGCTCTTTGCCATGTGCTAAAGTTTATCTAACATGCAATATAAGCTCATTCCTGCAATGTTTGCAATGGCAATTATCGCTTTTGCCAATGCCAACTACCATTTTTGGTTGAGCGTGATTGATCCCAACTCTATTCATTCAATTGTTTCATGTCTTGTTGTACCCGTGCTGTTCCAGATGACTTCAGCAGCACTCACGGTGCCACAGCAAGCATCCTATGGGGGCTATTGGTGAGGAGAGGGGCAGGGGAAGGAGGTGCCGAATAGGCATACCGTAAAGTGGTGAGAGTGCTTGGAGCACTTCAGCCTGCACCACGCCAAGTTCTTCTCTAACATGACAGAAGCTTAGATATCACATTTCTTCAACCATCCCTCCCCCTGCTTCCTGTGGACGGAAACTGGTGGAGATGTTGGTATTGGAGCTGTCAGATCTGGTCGCTTTCATCACAACTACGGTATAGGCCGAGGTGTATATTTTTGTCTTATACCGTAGCTTTCCTTGGTCGATATCTGGGGCTTGTCTATTGACGCATCGAGCACAACTAAGGTCGGTCGGATTCTCTTCGACTACTGTATAAATATAGCAGCAGTAGGGAGGTTAAGTTAGGATGATGTACTGCAATTGTGTACGCAACACTCCTATTGGATGTTAGGTGCTGCTGGATGCTGCAGCCAACAAACATCACATCTTCCTTTCGTTCTCATTCTTGCAAGAAATCCAGCCCAGGAACATGTTACGGTATCGTCCATACATTTTCATGTTTACCATCATGCCTCTCATGCCCAGAGGGTGTATGACTAGAGATTGCTTTGAATGCTCCTACTAATGTGAGCATGAGTGCGCTGACAAATCGTACACAAATCCGAGAAAGCGCCGAAGTTCAAAGCCACAAGCGCTGAAGCTCTGGTTAAGAGCTGTTACGGTACATCACCTACTCCCCAAATTAGAGCATGATTGTAAAAATCCATAAATTAGCCCTCCAGCTGCAACCAACCACATTGCATCTGTGCTCTCCGTTATTGAGAAGTAATGACAATCAGCGGTAATGACGAGCTCTCTTCTTCTTCTTGGCCGCGTTCTTGCTGACATCATTCCTCACAAGAACTTTCCCAAAGGCATCATTCAGGGCAGAAGACGAGGTCAGTGCAGGTTGGACAAGAGCCAGTGCCTGCAAAAAGAAATTTCATAGAGAGTGTATAGGTTCTATGTTTATAGTTTAGTTAGGCTGTAGTGAGTCGAGTCACATTCTTATACCCCCTCCCCCCCCCCCCCCCCCCCCCCCCCCACCTTTTCCCTAATCACCATCATTCTTGCTACCTACCAAACTAAGTTAGATTCTAAAATGGTATAAGTAGTAGGTTAGTTCCTAGCCTTAGAAAACGCGCCCCGTCCCGCCCGTGAAGCACCCGTCTGTAGCGCGCCCCGCCATAGGCAAATGCGCGCGCAGGAGCACCTGCACGCACGCACGCTGCCTCCCCCCCCCCCCCCCCCCCCCTTTTCGTCCCGTCCCGCGCCCTGTCCTGCCGTGCGCACGCAGCTGCAGCACGCACAGCCGCGCGCGCAACAAGCAACGCGGACAGCCGCGAGCAGGAAGCGCGCACATCAGCAGCAGCCGCGAGCGCGCGCGCCACCGCACGCGCACGAGCAGCAGCCGCCCGCGGACGAAGCCGCAGCTACACGCGCCACTGCAGCCGCGCGCGCAGTCGCACGTGCAACTTCAGCAGCAGCCCCACGCGCAGTTGCCCACGCACTAGGAGCCGCTCATGCAGCAGCAGCAGCCGCACGCGCAGCTGCCCACGCACCAGGAGCCTCGAGCGCAGCTGCACGTGCCTTCATTACGCACTGCTACCCGTGCTACTTGACAGGCCACCCCGTTCCCCACCGCACTAGACCGTTCCTAACCGCTCCCGACCGCACTCCACCACATTGAACCTCCCCCTGAACCACCCTCACCGTACTGAACCACCCTCCTCCGCACCCTTCCGCACCCGGCCGCACATTTCCTGCTCTCCACTGCACTAGTCCTCACCCTCCTGTACCTGACCGCTCCCCACCACGCTAGACCGCACCCATCCGCACCCGACCACGCTAGACCTTCCTCCACCCGTTCCCGCTACCCATCGTACGCGTCCTGCCATTGGCGACCCTAGCAGTGGCTGGCAGCCGCCGTCGACTCCACTGGCGCATCTTAGGGTGTGCACCTCGTTAGGCCTAGTGCTCCTAGCCCTCAGATCTTGTTTCGCTGTTCGTTTCGACTTCTCCTAGCCTAGCCACTCTTGCTACTCGCTCCGGCCGTTCCTAGCCCGTTTCTTCTTGCGCCATACGCCCTTCATTCGTTTCTAGCTCCGGCCATTCCTAGCCTTGCACTCCTAGACCGATAGCTCTCTCGTTATGGCGTCCACTTGCATCCTGCGTTTTGATGCGAAGGGTAGAGCCCTAAACTTCCCCTCATGGCTCCTCCGCACCAAGCGGTTCCTCCAGAGTCAGCGCCAGGACAATGATACACTCTGGGCGCACGCCTCTGGTGACATTCCCGAGCCTCCGCCCCCTGCTGTCCTGGGTGCTGAGCCTACTGAGGCGGACCAGGAGCGCTTCGATAAGGCCCGTACAGCTCTGTCGGTGTGGCAATCTTGTGACGCGGCGGCTTGCATAGCACTAGGCAGTCTTCTCCCTGAGTCTGAGGAGGCTCACTTCACCCAGGTTTGATTGGCCAAGGCCTTGTTCGATGCGATTAAGACCCGTTATTCGACTCCCTCCTCCGCATCTCTAGGTCGTTTCTTTCTGCCGTTTCTCTTTCCCGGCATAGGAGCGTTTGACCGCACTGCTGACCTTATCACCCACCTGCGCTCGCTAGACGCCAGCTACCGTGCTGCTTGTACTGAGGCTGAGCTTGTACTGGCGATCACTATTCACTTCATCGTCACTAGCCTCCCTGACTTCCTTGCACCTGTCCGTGACCCGCTTCTTCAGAAGCACCCTAGTGTGCTCACTATCGATGTCCTTAAGACAGATCTCAAGGACATCGAGAGCAACATCCGCTCCGTTGCCTCCGCTTCTGGGGCCATAGTTACCCCGCTCTTTCAGGGGTGCACTATCCCACAGCTTCCCACCTTCACTGCTTCTCTTGCCTCTACTGCGGCTGCTGCTTCTGACAAGTTTGCAGCCGTGTCCACCACGGGTGGGCGGCCCCGAGGCAGGGGAGGCAAGAAAGGGAGGAAGGGTGGTGGCGGTGGCGGTGGCAGCGGGGGTGGCGCAGGTACTGGTGCCACTAGTGCGTCTGGTGGAGGCGGCACAGGAGGCGGTCCTGGGCCTGCTGGCCCGATGGGAGGGGGTGCCGGTGCAGCTGCGTGGTACACGGCACAGCGGCGGCAGCAGTCCCAGCAGCAGCAGCCACAGCAGGGACAGCCGCAGCAGCAGGGACAGCCACAGCAGCAGGTTCAGCGGCAGGTGCAGCAGCAGCCTCAGCAGTGGGGACCTGGTGGACCAGGGAGCACTGGTCGTGGCGGTGGTCCGCCCAGCTCGGCGTCGTGTGGTTTCACTTCGCCTCCCTGCCAGTACGTGGTTCAGACGGGCACTCGTGAGGTTCAACGCTGTGGCCGTTTCCACGCTCACGACCACGTCCGCACACAGTACGGCTTTGGCCCCGCTCCGGACTGGGCCCCGCTTGCTCGCTCTCGTGGACTTGCTTTGTGGGACATGTCTGCGGTAGAGTTTGTTGATGCATTGGACTCTTATTCTGTGATGTATTCTGATGTTGACTATAATGCTGCTGGATCTGTTTGCTCGCATGTTTGTAGCTTAGAATCCTTGTCTCTTGCTAGTGTAGGTGCTTGTGCTCCCAGTCTAGGTGCTTGTGTAACTACTTGCCCAGGTGCACCTACGACTGACGTGTCGCTCTCTTTCACGATGGATTCTGGCGTGTCTCAGTGCTTCTTCCGCGACCACTCGACGCTCACACCGCTTTCTGCTCCGGTTCCGGTTGCACTGGCTGATCCTACTTCAAGGCCAGCAGTTGCACACAGCTCTACCACCCTCCTGTGCTCGGCTGTCCCCTCTGGTGTCCTCACTGGTCTCCACACCCCCTCGTTCTCCAGGAACTTGGTGGGTGTTGTATACCTTCAGGACCGCCACGTTGGCGTGTTGGGACCCGCGAGGACGGTGACACCTACGCTCCTCTGGCCGAGTTTCGCTGGGAGTGGGGCTCTGGTCTCTTCACACTGCATACTAACTCTCCCCTGGTAGTCGCGTCTAGTAAGGTTTGTTGCGTTGTGCTCCTATTGCTCACTCAGCCACCCGAACCACCGTCTTGGTCACCCGTCCCTCCCACGCCTCTGCAGCATGGCTAACCAGCGTCTTGTCTCCGGTCTCCCGCGAGTCCTTGAGTCGCTCCCTCATTCGCCTGCGCCGCCATGCACTCCTTCCGTTGAGGGTTGGTTGCACGTCACTCCTCACACCTCCTCCCTTCGTACGGCCACCGCACCCTTCCGAGAATCTCCACTTAGGTCGTATCCCTGGCTAGTGTCATGACACTGCCTCAAACTTTGGAACCCATGCGATTGGTCCAGAAAAAACCACGGGACAATCGCATGGGTTCCAAAGTTTGAGGCAGTGTCATGACACTAGCCAGGGATACGACCTTAGACGTCTGAGGTCCCGCCCCTTGCCCTGGGCCTGAGAGGGAGATCTACTTCCGGGTGGCCTTTGACGACTACTCTCGTTACACCACGGTGTTCCCTCTGGCAAAGAAGTCCGACGTGAATTCTATGCTGATCAGGTGGTTGCTGGCCACTGAGGCCACTCGTGGTAGTCTTGTCGTTTGTCTCCACCCGACCATGGGGGTGAGTTTCGCTCCGGAATTCTTCGTGGATTCTGCAGCGAGCAGGGCATCACCCAGTCCTGGACGCTCACGGAGTCCCCAGAGAAGAATGAGGTTGCTGAGCGTCGCATAGGCTTGGTCATGGAGATCGCCCGCACCTCCATAATCCATGCCCATGCGCCCCATTTTCTGTGGCCGTACGCGGTTCCCTACGCAGCCCACCAGCTGAACCTCTGACCTTGTGTCTCACGGCTAGAGGCTTCACCGACCAGTCTTTGGACCGGGTCCCCTGGTGTTGCGTCGGAGTTTCGTGCCTGGGGCTGCCTTGCGCTTGTTCGCGACACCTTTGCGGACAAGCTCTCGGCTTGTGCCCACCCATGTGTCTTCCTTGGTTTTCCGATGGACGCCCTTGACTTCACGTTTTACCACCCGTCCCTCGACCAGTTCCCCTTCGGTGGTTGCCTAAGTAGGAACCTTTGGAACATCCATATTCAAACAAGAAACTCACTTCTACCATATGTGTGAAACATTCAAGCATTTGAGAAGGTTTTTATTTATAAGACACCTGTACCTTCCGTTCATAAGATAGCCTTAACTTTTTTATCCCTTTGGGTGTATGAAATAAGACATATATATCTACTATCAGGGCGATGACGGTACATATATAAAAAAGCTGAAGCAAATCCAAACTTAGATGTTCAGAAGATGGATGCCCTTGATCGTTGAACTAGGGAAAAGTCAAGGTCGTCACTAACCATAAACGTGACAGCTAGGGCTGACGTTTCAATAAAACCACTCTGATTTTTTTGGCCCCATTTTTTTTTTTTTTTTTTTTTTTTTTTTTTTATGAGGTGTCGAGAGAACATTGTGACTAGGAGAATGTCGAAGGTATAGAGATACAAGTTTGTACTTTCTAAAGGCTAACCCATTTTAACCTACAAATACAAACATATAGATATAAATATGGTTTGACACACCCCTTAGGCTAGACCAGGGGTATTCGCTGAGCAACAACAACAAACTCACGGCGGCACTACTAGTCCAACCCCTAAGACAAGAAGGCCACAAGGCCTGTCAATAAGTTTTCATACATATACATATACATATACATATATATATATATATGCAAGATCACATACAATCAAGTAGCAAAGATCGAGAGACTAGCAAGTGGGCACCTCCTGTAACTAGGCCAAAATGAGTACAGAGCCGCTGATGATCACGAGGCTGAAGTGACTTGGTGAAGATATTAGCAGTGTTGGCATCTGAGGTCACAAGTACCACGCGTGTTTGGCTGCGCTGCTATAGCTCGCGTAAGAAGAAGTACCGCAGCTCAGCGTGCTTCTTGCTGCCCACCAGACGAGGCTCCTGACACAACATGATAATGGCCTCGTTGTCAGCGAACAAGACCGGGGCAGAGCGATGCGTCTCACCCAAGTCGGTGAGTAGAAAGGTGAGCCGGTGGAGCTCCTGTGCAGCCATAGCACCGGCGTAGATCTCAGCCTTACAGGTAGAGGGAGCAAATCACGCCACACGGGCCGCCACGAGACATCTCCGGAACCAAGGCTGAAACAGTAGCCCTGTGAAGACCTCCGTGATTTTGACCAGCTCTCTCCCTCCAAGGACAAGTCCTATGCCTGATGTGCTCGCCAGATAACGCACAATGTCAGATTTATATGACATAGCTACTGTAGGCTATAGTGGGGTAGCACATATGGGGTACAGTTTTTCTAGGGTTTGCTTTTGTACCCAACTTTCCCTTAGTCATTCCATTCCTCGTTTCTTCTCATGGTATCGAGCAGGTTCCCTAGTGGGAACGATTCCTAGGGCCCACCACCACGAAATTTTCTTTTCCTGCCCGGAGCGCGCTTCGCTCAGGCCCGAGTCGCGCCCTGTGTGCTCTCCCTACCGTCGCGCCCTCGCTAGGCCCCTCACGGCCCCGTCGCGTCGCCCTTAGCGGCCCTCTAACGGCCCGTCGCGCCCGTCGCGCCGCCCTTACGGCCCCTCGTGCCGCCCCTTACGGCCCCTCGCGCCGTCCCTTACAGCCCCTCGCGCGGCCCCCTACGCCCCTTACGGCCCCTCCCGCGGCCCCTCACGGCCCCCTACGGCTCGTCGCCGCCCTCAGCGGCCCCGCCACCTACCTGTGCGGCCCCGCCACCTACCTGTGCGGCCACGCCACCTACCAGCGGCCCCGCCACCTACCCGCGGCCCCGCCGCCTACCTGTGCTGGCCCCGCCACCTACCTG